GAAAAGCTTTGAGTACGCTCCTTCGGCAAGACTCCGGCAACGAAACAAATGGTCTTGGTATCTCACACTTAGGTCAAGATGACACAGCCAAACCCTTCTCAACCTTTCTAACTTGGAGATGCTTTCTCTCAGAAGGGATTCTACCTTAAGGTCATCTCTCTGTGCTCTAAATCGAGTACAAGTGTGGGCTGCGCAAACAATTGGAAAAAGGTCGCAGCCTAAACGGATTCGCCCAGAAGCAAGTTTTAAATCGCCAAGTGCACTAACATTCCGCACTCCCGGATGGTTATCACAAGCAACATCACTAATCGATTTTCTACTAAGGGTCATTGGGAGGCGCTGTTATCCGTTCGTTCGGCTTTATTTATAACCAATGATCAACCGAGGCTGTAGGCTAGATGGCGAGACAAAAAACCTGCGTAATCTCTGGATAAAACTTCTGGCGTTTGTGCTGAAAGGAGAGAGAGAGTCTGTAACACTCGTTGGTGCTGAGGAGAGAGAGTCTGAACTCTTGTTGCAGAAATAATGGCCTCTCTCCCCGTGGTCTGCTACTCTCTTTTCGACACTAAGAGTCACAAAGAGAGAAACGGTGCGGGGACCAGTGAACCTCAACCAAACACTCGGTTTGTTGCCCGTTGAACTTTCCGATGCGGTCGGTGGACAAAGAATGGGTGACGTCGGAGTGGAGGCCAATCAGTATACTTTGAAAGATGTGTGGAACCATGACGCGGTACAAATGTCGAACCGGCTGCAGAGTAGGACAAATGAGGTGCAGCATTAAACTCCCAGCTGGCTCTGCTTCCAACGCATGTATAAGGATGCGCGAGCAGAGATAAGCGTGCTAAGGGCAGAAAACAAGGAGCTGAACGGAAGGCCACCGTGATTTTCCGATTTGGAGGGCCGCCATATGCTGTAGTGGAGGAGCAGGGGGTGTGAATGTGCTCGGTGGATTAGGGAAGCACGGAGACAACACCGTCAAGGGCGCCAAGACGGAGGCAAGAAGAAAAGGCGGCGGAATAGGCGAAGAAGTGAGGTCAGCGGTGGCCGGCTGCAGAAAAGAAAAACAAATCTTGGGGTGTTGTGTTTTTTTTTTTTTTTTTTTTTTTTTTATGTTTGTTTTTTTTTTTTTTTTTTTTTTTTGTGTGTGTGTGTGTAAAATGGTGATCGGGGTGAGCCCCGACATGAATAAAATAAGATGGTATGCAGTTCGTCTTCTTCCTCGCTTTTTTTTTTTTTTTTTTTGTTTGGTTTTGGTTTTGTTTTGTTTGTTTTTTTTTTTTGTGTAAAGAAATAATAATGAAAAAAAAGATGAAAAATAAAATGAAAGAGAAATAAAAAAAAAGAATAGAAAGAATATAAGTATTAAAAGAAATGGGGGATAAAAGAAGAGTGTAATGTGATGATGAGAACGAAAGTGGACTGAGAATGAGTACGAAAAATAAAATAAAAAAAAAGAAAAAAGAAAGTGGGGTGAGGATGGGTTCAAAAGTGGACTGAAAAAACATGAGTGTATGTATGTGAATTATATAGGGAATGGTGGTGTGTAGATTAAACAAAGCTTTGGCTGTATAGAAGAAAGGTGAGAGAGAGAGATGAGATAGGAAGTGGGCGTGAGTGTCAGGAAAAATGGGTTTTAAAAATAAAAAGGAGGAAGAGATAAAAACAAATAATAATAAATAAAGAAATAAACAAAGTGGTAAAGAGAGTGGGATCACGTGGGTGGTGTAAAGAGAGTGGTTGTAAAGGAGTTGCCAAGAGACAAAACGGGTCAGTATACAGGTGTACTGGTATGAGTACAAGATTTAACACCTACGTGTCCACCAAACACAAACGAAAATATATTTTATTCTTGCTATGGGACAAGACAAGTAGTTCCAACCGCACCGAGACGAATGGGTAGTTTGGGCCCCTACACATTGACGATATAAACATTTATATTGACGGTGTGAACATTCACATTAAGGGTATTTTGGTAATTATGTCACCCATAGGACTTATTGAAACATAAGAAAATAATGTGAACTAAATGGAACATAAGTAGATGAAAATGGTATTTTGGTATTCTTATCTCAAATTGGACTTAATGGAATAATCAAAAAGAATATGAATTGGATGGAATAAAGTTCTTAGAAAATGGATTTATCAAAAAACTCCCCAAAAAACTTTACCAAACATTACATTCATTTCTTCACTTTATTTTTTTGTCTTGTCACTATTTCAGAAGATTTTTTTTTTTTGAGAGATAGCAATGAATTATTTGAAGACTGAACGATGAATTGCTATGAAGAGAGAGAGAGAGACAGAAGAGAACCGAAAGAAGAAAGGGTTTGAGACAAATTGGTACATTAATTAATATATTAATATATATTATGATATTATTGTTTTAAAATTATGAATGTTATTCATATAAATTACAAGATTCAAAATTTCTAAAATTATGACATATCGTCTATTAGTATACTAATTGGTGCGTATAATTTTATTTATTTCCTTTCTTCCTTTGACAGTATTTTTTTGGGGCCCTTGTCTATTAATATTAAAGGGAGAGGCTTATCTCCAGTCCACGACTGGAGTGTATTGTCGAGCTCGTGAGGGCTATTACGATTTTCGTTTCGATAATTCGAACTCTTCAATATGTAAAGCTTATCGAGTATTTCATACCTACAAAAAATTACTTTGATCAAATATTGATAGTTCTTTGATCGGAACACATTTTGGTTAACAATTTGTTTTTAAAATCATATATACCATTGACAAAAATGTATTTCAATCAATGGGCCATCGGTTTCCGATCAACGTGATTTTTTGTAGGCATGAAATACTTAATGAGCTCTGCATATTAAACGATTCATATTATCAAAATAGGATCCATGGTAGAGTACGCTCCAATTAGGGTTCATTTGGGAAGAAGGGAAGGGTTGGGGGTTATTTTAACCACAAAAGACAAAATAGATTTTTTAGCCCAATAAGAAAAAAATCATATCAAACCCATAATTATTTCATTTTTTCTCTCACAAAAATAAAAAAATTCAAAACCTATCCCAAACGAGACTTTTTAACAAAAAGTTAAAAAACTAAAATAGATTTTTTAGCCCAATAAGAAAAAAATCATATCAAACCCATAATTATTTCATTTTTTCTCTCACAAAAATAAAAAAATTCAAAACTTTTTAACAAAAAGTTAAAAAACTAAAAATTCAACCCACATCCCAAACGAATCCTAATGAATTGAAAAGAAACCTCTCCTTTAATTAAATAATAAACTTACATATATACCAATATATCAAAAAAAATGGACCCTTCATTATTTAGGGCCTAAGGCGAGGGCTTGAGTGGCCTCACTTGGGCCGACCATGACCGCGACACCAATGTGAATGAGGTTGGATTTTTTAGTAGCTTTCTTATTTGATTTGTTTAATTTTTATTGATTTTATTTATTTATTTTAATTTTTGATATTTATATTTTATATATTTTTAGGTTCTAGTCAAGTAATTGGTATAGATAAGTAAATAAATAAATAAATAACTTTAAAAAAAAAATTTACTGAATACAAAAAAGTTAAAAGAACTATATAAAAAAATTATTTTAGATTTTTCTATACTAGATAGATTAGAAAGTAAATTTTCTTTTTACACAAATTAAAAAAAAAATACTAAATACAAAAAAAAAATAAAAATAAAAATAAAAATAAAAATAAAAATTAAAATAAAAATAAAAATAAAAATAAAAATAAAAATTAGAAAAAAATGAGATTTTTTAAAGTTGGAATGCCAAACCAAACCAAAGTTTGAACACATGACAATAGTTTTTATGCTCGAATATGGTGTTTGGAATACTTATCGATCGAATTCATGTTCTTTGATGCATATACAGGATATAATTAGGATTTTATCAATATAGGGCCATTAAGAAGCCATTGGAGTGGGTTCGAGCAGGCTATTTTTTTTTTTTTTTAAAAATAGTTTAAATAATTATTGAAATATATTTAATGTATAGATGACTTAAATAATTATAATTATATTTTTTAAAATTCAATAGCCTCATTGTCCTACATTGGCA